GCCCTTTCCCCTCCCGAGCTGATAAAAGACGGAGTGCACACGTGTGTTCTGGCCCTTTCCCCTCCCGAGCTGATAAAAGACGGAGTGCACACGTGTGTTCTGGCCCTTTCCCCTCCCGAGCAGATAAAAGACGGAGTGCACACGTGAATAAAACATTCTACCTACACCGGCACCCTCGAGTGTAGTGCCACGGTCCTCCCCCCTTCTCGGACCGCGGCAATTTAGTCCTTCTTTCTTTTTTTTTTTTTTTCATTAAAGAAACAGAAACTTTTGCACCATGTGTTTGCAGAAAACACTTTTGCCATATATTTCTATTCTGTCAGCTAGTGATGGGGAAGGAAATGCATAGATCTGGAATTCAATAGCATATTAAATAGTACTTGAAGAAATGAGTATACAAAACTCTGGATTAAGGTAGATCTTTTACAAATATCTTTTCAAACTTTATAAAAGGCTACAAGAGAAGTCCTGTGAGGGTTATCAGTCTGGAATAAAGCTTTGGTCCATGTGACTTTCTTTGATTTGAGTTGTAAGTCCCCAAACAAAAGATTATCTATGATGAGTTAATGGTGCATTCAAAGCTTTAAAGGTTTTCCATCTAAAATTGTATCAGATTCATCAGAGTGACATTCTCATTGTACTGTTTATTTTATTTTTATCCTGCTAGTGTATGCATACACATAGCATACATGGAGTCAAATATGTCCCCAGTCAGCTGGCACACTACTTTGACATTATGCTATTAATAATGTGCTCTCTGAGCTTTTGGTTAGATTTGGGTCTTGAATATTCCCTACTATTAGTGTGGGGGAAAAAAATTATGTCTAAAAAGTCATCCCAGAAAATAAAACTCTTCAGAATATTTGTGGATTCTTCAAGGGGGAAAAAAAAAAGGTATTTCTAATCTTTTTACAGGTTTTGTCTAAGATAACAGTAGTAACAGGATTCATACATCTTTTTTTCCTCAATTTTTAAAATAGCCTGTACCTACAAAAACAGTAGAAAAATTTGTAAGTAGGTCTTCTATAAAAATTATAGATGCTTTTTGAACTAAACCTGGATAGTTCTGGAGAGCTCTAGATCTTTCATTGCTGCTGTACTCAGATTTCAACGTCTGACATGGTCAGATAACTTTACACACACTACATATGCCTCACTGTAAAAAAAAGCCATCAGCTTCCAGCAGAGAGCTCAACAGAAATTTGTCTGTATATGTGATTAAGTTTTTTCAAATGTTACTACACCTTTTAGAAACTCTGCTTTAAGGAATCATGCTCTCAAAAAAAACTAAAAGGTAAAATGAGTTCTTGATTTGTAAATGTGTAAATGGCATAATCATTTGATAAATAAAATAAAGAAAAAAGGTAAAGAAAAGCCTGGAAAACTCCTTAATACTGTGTAGCAGGAACATAGATCCTGCCATATGATCCTCACTGGGGAAATTTAAAAAAGTTCTAGCAAAGTAGTGTGATTTGGCAAGAGCTGAATTTGAATGTGGTTGTGAGGTCCCCATAAGTAACATATGCTTTCAGTAAGCTGCAGTATTCCTTCCTTCCTTAGTCCAAACTTTGAAATTATTACTTTATATTTTATAAAATTATATAGTTCTATGCCAAATCAAAGTTGTTATTTCTTGATAAAACTATCATATTATGAAATTAGAGCTCATCCAGAGGAAGAGAAAATAGCAAATACTTAATTCTGACCACTTTAGGGAAAAAAAAAAAAGAAAAAGAAACAAAAGTGGAGAGAAGGAGGCAAAGAGAATGAAGGAGGAAGGAGAGGGAGAGTGATGTCTGCTTATGATTATGAGATGAACTTTGAACTTTTTCTATTCCTGCAGCCAGGAATTTCTGATTTTTTTTAATACCCTACTAGAGTGAAAATTTGAAGTGTATATTAAACAAACAAAAATTTTACTTACATGATTATGCAAAATTATAAATTAGAACAGAAAAAACCCACCTTCCAGACACAACTGGAGACTGAAACATGTCTAAAAGCAAAACTGTCAATCTGGAATTTGGAAACAAAGAACATTCTTTAATTTCTTTTGCTTCCCACTCAATGAGTGGGATGACAGCACTGCCTAGTAAAGTTCAGACATGCCTTCAAATTTTTCTGCATACTTTCATTTCCTGTTTTCTTTGTCATGTGAAAACTGATACACTGTCCTTTTCAAATGAGATTAATTTAATTGTCCTAATAATATCACACTTATTTTTCTTGTATTATTATTAATATCACCACAGAAGCATGCCGGGACAGGAAAGCCACCTCTAGCACACTAGCTCCCAGGTGTTATCTCAAGACCAAGATAAAAAGAACTTCTGAGACTTGCTTACAGAAGGAAGATAATGCAAGACTAAAGGAGAAAGACTAGAGGTTTATCAGGATGATTACCTTATTTTCAAATTATATTTCAGAAATCAATGTTATTGGGCTCATGCTGCTGTGCAGAACCAGGGCCCTGGAGTAAGGGCATGGCCCTGGTCTGACACTTGTGTGCTCTGCTCTTGTTCTTGTGGTACAAGACAGGACCCTTCAGGCAAGCAGTGCTTCTCCATGAAGCCCACACTAACTTTGGAGGTGGGATTTCTGCTTACACTTCCCTCTGTTCCAGGTGGTATGTGTCTCATGTAACACCTTCAGATCCTCTCCCAGGGCTGCTTTAGGCTCTTACTCAGAGGTGCATCTGTAAACAGTAGACAAGCTACCTTTTAGCAAATGAAAAGAAGCTAGGGCTGGGAAGGGAGGAGGAGGGAGTCTTTTCCAAAAAACAAGAGCTGACATGAAAGTGGACATCCCTTAGTGCCAAATGATAGAGAAAATCCACCAGGACAACAACAAAGAAAAACAAACAAACAAACAAAAAAACCCACACACAAACAAAAGAGAAGAAAAACACATAGAAAAATCCCTGCTGGTTGGGTTTCCCTGCTGGTTGGGTTGCATTCATTGACCACTCTCACATGGCACGTTTTTCAGACTGGCAGAAGATGAGTGACAAAATCTAGTTACACCCAACAAGTACAACACCAACAGGAGAAGGTACACTGTTAAAAGTTACAGGAAGTGGTGTCCTCTGCAGAGTGATCAGAAGTATTGGCTGATAAATTTGCACCATTAGGAGACAACAAGCTTCTATCAGTTTTTATGACATTTAGATCAGTCTTCAACTATTGATAAACGTGACTGTACCACACCTGGGAACAGAAATGTTTATTTTTTTCCATGTTTTTTTTTTCTGGTTTTGGCAAGGAAAAACTGTCTGAAAACCAAATCTTTTTAAGCAAGCAATTCCAACAGACTACTCCTGAAAAAAGTTGCCACAACTTTCCAGTGCAGTCCTAGCCCTGACACTGATTATCATTGGAAACATCACTGTAAAACCATATCACATTTGAACCTCATGAAATTCAACAAGAACCAGTGCAAGGTCCTTCACCTTGTGTTAGGGCTAACACCAGTATCACAAGATATTAGGAGTTGAATGGATTAGGAGCAGCACTGTGGGGATATTGGCCCTTGAAAAATGATACATCATCTGACAATGTGCACTTGTCACCAAGGAAACCAAGCTTATTCTGGGCTACATCAAAAGAAGCCAGCAGTTTGTGGGAAGTGATTCCCCCCCCCCTTTATTCTGCTCTCATGAGACCCCACTTGCAGCATCCAGCTTTGGACTCCTCAGTACACAAAACATAAGGACCTATCCAGAGGAGGGCCAAAAAATTTATCAGAGCGCTGGAACAGTTCTGGTGAAAGGATGAGAGAGCTGGGGTTGTTCAGCCTGAAGAAGAGAAGGCTCTGGAGAGACCTTACTGAAGCTCTTTCTTAGTACTTAAGTACTTAAATGGTGCTTATATAAAAAGAGGAAGAGCTATTTTTTATATGGTAGATAATGTTAGAATAAGTGGGAATGGTTTTAAAGCACAAGAGGCTAAATTTAGGTCAGATACTAGGAAGGAATTCTTTACTGTTACGGTCGTGAGGCACTGAAACGGGTTGCCCAGGATGCCTGTTGTGAACAAGTGTTTATACATTGCTTAAAGAATCGCTGATTCTCAGATCCTAGAGCAGCCTGTCGGGGGTTAGGAGGCATGGGGGTGTGCAGGGAATACACTACCACAATGCCCATTTTGGAAGTGCTCAAGGCCTGATTGGATGGGGCTTGGAGCAATCTGGTCTAGTGGAAGGTGTCCCTGCCCATGGCAGTGGGGTTTGGACTAGAAGGTCTTTGAAGGTCCTTTACAACCCAAATCATTCTATGGTTGCATGATCCTCAATAATAGGAAACTAAAAGTGTTAATGTCAGTATTTAAAAGCTGAAATTTTAAGCTTCTTCAGAATAAGATGCCCAACTGGAACAGAAAATCTTCATAGAAGACATGAAAGGCACTTCAGTTGGTCTTTGGACTAAGAGACCACTGCACTGGATATGTGCAGTGAAATAACATTATTTAAAAGAGTTTTGTGTGTTGGGTTTTTTACTGTGTTGTTTTCTATGTTCTTAAATAATTCTTCTAAACTTAGCATTCATTTTCTTTTCTTTCTAGCGTATTTCTTACCACAATCCCAACATGGAAAATTGTTAAGTCCTATTTATATCCACTTACTTCATAATCAACCATGAACAATATAACAATTGAATATTAATGAACTGGTCTAGTCATCATAGTCTAGAATTGATATTATGAACATAGTTTTAACACAGGATGGCTGTCCCAACTAAATTGTTTTCTCCATCTATAAAATGAACTGATGTTACAACATTGCAGTAATATGAAGCTGAGCTCAATTACCTTGTAAAAGGTTTCAGAATTTTCAGGCCAAAATTTCTGAAGGAACAATACAAATAACTACTTCTGCAAAGGCCAATGCAAAAATCATAGTATCACAAAATAGTTACTTTGACACTTAGTTATCTACAAAAAAATTATCTGCTATTATTTTTGAAAGCTATTTAGAATATATTTCACCTGCATTTGTCAAATACTCTACAGTTAGTTTATTGGGATTGTGTATTTTTTTCCAGAGGAGTTTAAGCAGCATTCATTACAAAGTTTTAGAAATAAAATTAAATGAGTGTGCTTTTCTTATTAACCTGGAAGAATTTAACAATTTTCTCTAGGGTATTTTTATTACTCTTTCTTAATTACTAAGACTACTTGCTAATTTCATCTACTTCACACTTTTTTGCTCCTGGCAGATCTTTTATTATACAAAAGAGTAATTTTACTGGGTTTTGGTTTTTATCATTTAGCGGGAAGCTAAAACAAAGTAGTTGGAAACAGTTTTGTGCAGAATTTTAGCAGTGGAAAAGAGAGATGAGTATAGTGTTTGTCTGGAAAATAGTTTTTCTTATTCAACCAAAAGGTTTTTTCCCATGTTGAAGAAAAAGTCCCAACACAATAGTTCTTTATTCTGTTCTATAATTTCTTGACATGATGACTGTTTTACTTTGGATAATGATAACAGCTTCTTGCTGTATTTCCTTGTGTTCTCACAAGATTCAGTGCGACAAAATGTCCTGGTTTCAGATCGGATAGAGTTAATTTCTTCTCAGTAGCTATTACAGTGCTGTGCTTTGGATTTGGAATGAGAATGGTGTTGATAACACACTGATGTTTTGGCTTTTTTCGCTAAGTCATATTTATCCTAAATCATGGACTTTTTTCTTGTCTCGTGCTCTGCCAGTGAGGAGGTACAGAAAAGAAAGTGGGAGAGAGCATAGCGGAGACAGGTGACCCAAACTGACCAAGGGATATTCCGCACCGTAGAACATCACACCCAGTATATAAACTGGGGGAAGTTACTCAGAAGGGAGGCTGATCTAGGTTCAGAAAGGAGGGTCTGGCATTGGTCAGAGGGTGGTGAGTGATTGTATTGTGCATTACTTGTTTTTTCCTTCATTAGGATCATTATTATTATCATTTACCATTATTACTGTATTTTTAATTTATTTTTTATTATTAAGCTGTTCTTAACCTACAAGTTTTACTTTGATTCTCCTCCCCATTCCGCTGGGTTGGATTGGGGAGAGAGGGAGGTTGAGCAAGTGGCTGCATGGTGCTTAATTTTCATCCAGGCTTAAATCGCACCATGCTTCAGAAATTAATCACTGTGCAATTTAAGTGATTTAGCTTTTTGTTGTTACTCATATTATAAAAGACCAACAAGACATAAGAAAATAAAAAATATAAAGATATCCCTTATCTGATAAAGAACTTCACAGAGGTAATTTTGTTTGCTCATACTCACATTCACTCACATATTTGATTACTTTTGGCTCATATGTTTTCATGTACTACACTAATAGAGTAATACAATAATAAAGTAGAATCTTTGCTGAGTTTTTTGCAATGCATACAAAATGAGGAAAGTCTTAAAAATGTGAAAGAGTGTTAGGGTTGTCGAGATTTCTTCTTTTTATTTGTGTTTTTCTGTAATCCAAGGAAATGACAAATTTAATTCCCATCACCACAGATTTTACGAGATCAGTAAGTCAGGCTTTGCATTCTGCACTTTGCATTAACCCTTCTACTTTCAATAGGAACTATCAGATCAAGCTGAACTGGTAAACTGATAATGCAAGAAGCAATACAGAATCCATTTCCCAATTCTATGCTCTGCTTCTTGACTGCAGTAGGACTTGAAGTGCTGGACTAAAGACAGGAGTACTTAAATATTCTGGCATAGCTGAGCGGCACATCAGTATTGGCATAAACACTGTTTTCAGGCATGACCCCATTGTTTTACTGGTTCTACCAAAACTGAACTAGTAAGCTTGAACTGGTAATAAAAGCAGGGAGAAGGGATTCGCAAACACAAAGATGTTTGGATTAAGATGTTAAGCGTTATACTTAATAACGCTCTACCCACTCTTTAATTGAAAAGGAGTAATATTCACACAGTTAATATTATTGCTGACTGTTTAGCATGTCAGTGGATGGGAAAAAGAATGCAATCTGCAACCAGAAACTATTCACAACCACAATGAATTGTTAAGTAGTAGGACACAGACAAGAAAATGACATCTAAGTCAACTGCTGATTGTTTTTTCTCTCTCTCTCTGTCTTGCTCTACACCACCCCTAAATTTTTTTAAAGCTTGGCCCAAGCTGCAAGTATCTAAACCTAGCTGCTGCACCTCATTCCAACAAAAAAAATCAAGCATGAATCACAGCCCTTCCTCCCCCTAAGCATTGCCAGTAGATCTGAGGCTTCCGTTCAGATCCAAGACTTTGTCTTTCTCCTTCTACTGCCAAGTAAAGGCATTTGCTAATACTTAATTAAGGTTCCTATTCAGATTATGTGGTCTCAATGCTAACAACAAGGTTTTAGCTACCCAACTCCCAGTAGCATAGTTTAAGATACAAATATCAAATAGGGAACATAATATTTCATTTAGATTTAATGTGGAGAATTATTGTAAATTAAATAATTATCAAGTGATTACTAAACCTTACCTAGAGATTAACAAGCATTATTAATTTCAAAGCTGTTAACCCTCTGTAATTCTCTCCTTTGTAATCAGCTGGTGATTACTCATTAGTGTTACAGAGCACTGTCATAGCTTTGGAAGTTACACCACTGTTTTTTCCTCATTACAGATACTTTAGTAGCCTTTAGTTATTTGTATTTTGAGAAATAGCCACCTTAATTAATTAGCAGTTTATGATTTTTTATGAAC